CAGGTAAAAACGGTACTTGAATAACAATGAAAAGACCGTCGCATGAGAGTATATTGGTCAAAGAATACTGTAAAGCTCCAAGAACTTTATATAGAAGGGGGATTCTCAGAAAAAGGGGGTAAAACTTTTCCTCTCAACTCTTTCTCTTACAATTTCCTCCTCCGAAGGATGTAAACTGATATTTCTTTCTTCCTATCAAAGATAGGATTGTAACATCAAGAAATTTAGAATGTTCTTTTTTTTATTATTTATTATCTCGCTATACGTCTTTAGATCTAAAGTTGATTATACTTGGCTAAGATTTTCCTCTTCTCATCATTAATTAGTTTAGTCAAAAGGTTCTAATACTTTTTGGTCAAACACCCTTCCCCTTATGAACTTGTGAATTTTGAAGATTATATTATAATGTCGTTTGTCCCAATTAAGTTATGAGGAATTACGTATGCGGAGTTCAATTTAACTGTATAGAATAATTTTACTTTCTTATAAAATGAAATTCAGATATATTTAATTTTTTTAAAGGGAAAAGGTTTAGATTTACATGTAAAATTGAGCAATTTTGCCTTCTATTCCATATTTGGTCCATAATTCATAGTGAAAATGGCGTGTAGTAGCCACTAAATAAGGGTGTATTTAATTTTTATCCACTATTTAAAATGCTTATCAAAAATAGCCACTACTAAGGGGGAAAAGACACAATTACCCTTTCTCTATTTCTTGTATAATCCCAAAATCGACGAAAACCCTTATTTTCATTCGTTCAAAGTTCAGACGAGAGAGGTTAACCCTTATTTTCTATTTCCGTGTTCTGCCCTTCTTCATCTTCCTCGAATGGAAACTGCAGTCTTAGTTAAACTTCTGCTCCTTCATCTTCTCCATCATCTTCTGTCAATCGCGACTGGTAATATGTTTTTTATGCATTTTCGTTTTTCTTTATGTGTAAGTTGGTTCAATGTCGTGTGAAGTATGTGTGAAATTTTAAAAATTAGCATTATATGTTGATTCAGTGTAGTATATTTTGTGTGATTCTGTTTTTGATAAATTTTTAGTGTGTGAAATTTGAAATGTGTTTGTGGTTGATTCAATATATTTGATTATGTAGGTATATTTCATAAAAATAGTCGTAGAAATTCATAAGCTTACTG